GATGAAAACCGGGGAGTCACCTGGGACTCCTTCTGCCCGTTCTCCTTCATGCCCCACACCTGGCCATCCCCTAAGAGCTCCTTCCTCCTGACATTTCCCAAGACTCTTGTGCCACCATGTCCCTAAGGCCACTGTCCCAGCATGGGGCACAGTCACTCCCACAGCACCTGCAGCAGCTCCCTAGATGGTCTTCTGCCTCCAGCCCTCCCCCTCCCCTTCTCTCCCCCATGTGGTCAGAGGGACCAGCCTGAACTGCAAACGGCCTGCGAAGCCCTTGTGGCTCCCGATGCCGCCGGGATGGTGTCAAACTCCTCAGCACGTTTGCCAGGCCCTGCCGCCCAGAGGGCCCTCATCCCCCTACCTTCCCACTCCTGCTATACTGACCACCGCACACCCTCTCCCACCTCCACAGCAGGGTTTCTCAACCTCGGCGCCACTGACACTTGGTGTCAGAGAATTCTTTGTTCTGGGGCCGTCCTGTGCACTGGAAGGTGTTCAACAGCATCCCTGGCCCCTACCCATCAGACGCCAGAGCACATCCTCCCAAGTGTGCCAATCAAAGCTATCTCCAGACACTGCCGACTGTCTCCCGGGGGGCAAACCGTCCCCAGGTGAGAACCACTGCTCTATACCTTTGCCCATGAAAGGCCCTTCTTTCCTTTCATTTGTATCTGGCTGCCTCCTCCTCACGTTAACATCTGATTCAGCTGCGTCACCTCCCAGACGCCTCCCTGGCTACTCAGGCTGGTGTAGGGGCAGCTTCCCTTTGCACAGTGCTGCCACGGCTCCTGCCACACTGCAGCGGGCTGGTCCCCAGATGTGCTGTCACCCGCTCTGCAAGGAGGGCTCCTCAGCACCCCCCCGGGGGGGGCCTGGCGCACTGACCGTGTGTACCCGCATAAGTACAACAGTGCGTCGGGCTCAGAGACCACCCAGGTAGGTGGCCAGAGGCAAGGGGCTGTGTGCAGCCAAGGTGTCAGGCTGAGGGACGCAGAAGGGAAAAAAAACCAGAGCAGGGGTCTAGGGGAAGGGCCCTGCAGGCACAGCCTGAACAAAGGCTACGAGGTGTGGGCAAGATGAGACTGGAAATGACATAGCCAGAGCCCAGTGTGAGGCCTGTGGGAGAGGTATCAGGAGAAGGGATTTTGAAGCAGAAGGAAACCAGGTCATGAAGACCTTTGGATGTCTTCTGCAGCCGCAGATGTATCCAGCAGGATGCAAAATTTGGGGGGCACAGGTCTCATGGTCAAACAGGTTTGGGAAATGCTTTGTCTGCGAACAGGTTTCTTTATTGCAGGACTTCTGAGTCTTCGATATGCTCACGTGCCAGGTGAATCTTTACAAGCGGAAGATACATGTAGTATCACCCACATGTAACTGACTACAGAGCCTCTCAAATGATCGGTGTCCTTCAGCCTACCCTTTGGAAATGCTGCGTGGAGCTGAGACACAGGGGCTACAACTTGAAGAAGGGCTCAAGGTAAGGATGATCTGGGTTTGGGAGCAATGGTGCTGGGAGTTCTTCAAAGACCTCAGGGCCAACACTGGGGCCTCAGCCACTAGCTTGACCCCTCTCTCCCAGCCCCTGGCTCCCCAGCCCCTGGGGCATCTGCAGCACCAAGAAGTGAAAACAGCTCCCGAGAGACTGTCTACAGGAAGGACTGGGAGGCAGTGCGAAATTTATTGTAGAAAAACAGTCACCCCGTGGGACTGTTTCGACCACCTCCCCCAGGCCCCTGGGCCACAACATATGGTGTGGTTTAAATTTTTAAAATTGAGGAGTACTTAAGGAAAAAATGTTGGCAGGCTCAGAGGCACTTGTAAAACCATCTGAGCTGATGAGGAGTCTGGGCCCCATCCCTCTAGGAGATGGAGGCAGCACTGAGCAGGGGCAGGGGGTCCGGAGAGCAGGATGGGGTCTGCCAGCAGGGGCTTCCAGATGAGGCTGGCCAGGCAGGGAGAGAATGGAACAGCCCCTGCAGCAGCCCCTGCAGCAGCCCCTGGATGGGCCGAAGGAGCCGACAAGGCTGGACAAAGGAACCACTTCATCCTCACCGTAGACCACAGCCGGGGCGGGGGCAGCAGAAGGGCAGTGAGGGACCAGATGTGGGGAACAGGGCACCAACAGTTGGGGGTGGGGGGCTCAAGTCCCGGCTGCATCACCTGGGACAGTGACAGTCCCTCCGGAGCCTCCGCATGCTCATCTGTAAGATGGAGCCAATGGAATCCCAACACGTGGTAGCAGCAAGGACTAGGGGAGAGAGTGTCTGCACACAGTGGGTCCTCAAAACATGTTAGCTGCCATTGGGGGGAACACAAGTGGGTGGGTGGCCCCAACTGGGTGCAGATGGAGAGCTGGACTGGCAAAGCTGAGGCACCGTGGAAACCACCGTTGCTGAGGGCAGCTGAAGAATCTGATAGCTGAGTGGCCAGAGCACATTACCCACCCGCCGCGCCCCCCCAACCTGGCCCTGGCAGCCACCTGTACACGTCTCATCTCACGGAGGCTGCAGCCATCACAGGTGACGCCTAGGAGGGGTCTGGCACCCCGTAGGCGCTGAGCCAGTGAGCAGTTGTTCTCACCCACCCTGGGGTATTTGCACCCTCAGAGCCGTGCCTCCTCTGAGCTCTGGGTCCTGGTTCTGCCCAGGGTGTTCACGCTGTCTCAAGCGGTGGCCAGGAGATCAAAAGCAACATGACAGCGGCTGCGAGTGCGGGGAAACAGGGACCCTGCTCACACATCTCCCCCTTGACCCCTTTCAACCTGAGAACTTTCAGAGATGCCAACAAGGCCTGTATCTGGAACAAAGCAAGGCACAGCTGCCTGAAGGCCCGATGGCCGCACGGATGGAGCGGGCAGCCACGTGGGCCCAGGGCCGCACCTGTGCAGAGCAAGCTGGCCCTGCCCAGCGTCTGGGGCTTTTACGAATGTGAATCCTCATTTCTGCCATGTGCAGAAGGACTGGGACTGCTTGCCCATCACGTGGAGAGAAGCGTACGCTTACGAAGGAAGCAGAAGCAGAGAGACAGCGAGAGAATGACAAGTCGGGGTGGTGGCCTGGCGGGAGCAGGAAGAAGTGACACAGGAGACCTCTCTGGGTGTGAGGCTGAACTGACTGCACAGAGATGCCCCTGGCCGCCTGCAGATGCTGGAGGTGAGCAGCCCTGCTCCAGAACGGGACCCAGTGTGGTACGAGAGACCCCACCCGGGGGGGGGGGGGGTGGGGTGGGACAACCCCACACGCTCGGGGCCCCCTGGCCCTCCAGAACCCCCGAGGGGGCAGCGAGGGTGTGAGGGGGGGACCAGAACTACCAAGGACCCCCTGGGACGCCTGCTGAGAACCTCAGGGTGGGAGTTACAGGCCTCGAGGGACTTCCACGTCATGTTGATAAAACGTATAAAAACCCGCAGAGATGGTCTGTATGTGCAGGGCAGAGGAGGCCTGATTTTAAACTCTGAAGGAGGCTCTGTGAGTGTAAAGGCCTCAGGTCACCCTGGATGCCCTTGCCAGGGGGTCACAGGCTGTCAGAAGCCCACCTAGGGCTGCAGGAGCTGCTGTATGGGACCCGGATTCCTTGTGTCCACAATCCTGTCTCCCGAGTGGAATCCTCCAGAGCAGCTGCGGCAGACCTCTGCAAGTGCATTCTGCTTTAGTGAAGCTGTGAAGGGACACCCGCCAGGGGACAGCATCCCCAAGGAGGCAGGCCGGCAAGGCAGGGGCTGCCTTTTTTCCAGGGGCCCAATGTCACATCCAGGGAGTCTCTGCACCTCGGTGGCAACACCTCTCTCTCTGACTGAAGCATCTCTCATCTTTCTCACTGTTTGGTTCTTATCTTGGGACTCACTTGTCATTCCCTCAGTGTAGGCCTGGAGAGAGTGGAGTCTGTGATGGTCTGGTTTGCAGGGACCCTGTGACATGATCTGGCCAAGCCTCACCCATTTCACAGCAAAGAACACCGAGGCCTGGGGAGAGGAAGACCGAGGTCCCATGGCGAATTAGGGGTGAAGCCATTTCCTGACCCGCATGCCTGTGTGTTGCCACTCCCTGCCATTCTCTGTGGGGACAGGCCGACAGGGCCCTGTCACAGTGGCTCTGGTAGCCCCAGTCCCCGGGCAGCCTGGGAGAGAGGCAGCATCCAGATCCTGGATGAGGGTGGAACCAGTGCTGGCCCACGAGGGTACAGAACACACCCAGAACTGCCGGGGTGCAGGTCACATCTCAGGCTCCTAAGGCTTCTAGGAGACGGGTCTGGCAAGGAGGACCACTTGTAAGAAACAGAAACTGAGGCGCAGGGAGGGAACATGACTTAACTGTGTGGGCGGCACAGCTGGGACCAGAACCCCAGGCTCCCAGGCCAAGCTGTGAACTAGCTGGAGACCACGTTTATCTGTCAAGCTGGGGGTGAGAAGGAACAGGTTCCAGGGAACCAAGGCCACCAGGCCCCCGGGGGGTGGTGCTCTCTGCCTTCAGCACTGCGGTGGGGGTGCTCCTGAAGTCGGGGCCTCACAGCCCCTCTCCCTTCAACAGGCGGCAGAACATACTTCAGGACACTCTACGTTCTGTGTGTATTCAACCAGTGGTACCTCCGCCAGCACAGCCTCAGCCGCTGCATTTCCCTCTTGATCACCCCCAACTCTTCCCCTCCACACCAACCTCGCCCAGCTACCCCTGCTCTGCCCTTTCTTCCGGGCCAGGCCGCCACTGGCCCAGCTACAAACACTTGGGTGTTGGCTGTGGCAGCATAAGGCCCCTGGAGGGGACTGGCCCAGGAAGCAGGCCTCCCCACCCCACTCCCGGCCCGGCCTGGCCCACCTGCCTTGGCCTTGCCAGTCTCGGGCACTCTCTGAGGGAGGTGAGAATGCTGGACCTCTGGAGACCACCAGCTGCCACCAGCTGGGTGCTTCACAGCCCCCCACGTGGCCCGGCCGGGATCTGGGGCCCAGATTCCTCTAGAAGGCCTCCTATTCCTCCTACTGTGGGGTGTGGGTGGCCTCTTACCTTTGGGGTGAGGTACTTGGTCATAATTTCCTTCCCTTTTTCCCCCAGCTTTTCATCTGGAGTAACTTCATATTCTGCCTGAAACAGAAAAAGGAAAAGAACAATAACAGATCTGCTCCTGAGCTGCTTCTAGTTACACGAGCTTCTCAGCCCCTGGAGAAGACACCATGGAGGTCAGGTGACCACTCCCTCCCCCTACAGAGCAGGAAGCTGAGGCCCAGACTGGGGAGAAGACCCGGCCAAGGAGCTCTGACGTCCAGCCCAGCCTACTCTGCACCATCCACGGACACGTGCTTATTAGAACAGGTGCTGTCTTCTCGGGCTGCACATTAGGGTCACCGGGAGCAAACACTGGTACCCGGGCCCCACCCCACCCCAACAGACTCTGACCCTCTGGCCAGGAGGGCAGGGCTCTGGGCAGCTGGGGTTGAGAACCACCGACTCAGATAAATCACAGGAAGCCACTGGAAAATAACGAGCCACCAAACTGGAAGGTCCCCGAGAGACTGCCTCGGGTCACTCAGACCTTACAGCTGCATGACCTTAGACGATTTCCTTCACCTCCATAAAATGCAGATTGAAAAAGCACCACTACAGGGCAACTGGGCTGACAGAATGTGACAAAGCTCTCAGCCCAGAGCCAGGCACATCATAATACTCAATGAACAGCTGCCGTAATTATCACCATCGTCATTATTATCCCTTGCAAAAGAAAACGCTAATATGGAGCGTTTTGCAGCTTTTCAGCTTATAAAATGAACATAGATTTTTCAGATGTTCAGAGGGCGCGCATGCACACAGAGGGAGAGAGAGAAGCAGACTCCCCGCTGAGCAGGGAGCCCGACGCAGGGCTCGATCCAGGACCCCGGGATCACGACCTGAGCCGAAGGCAGACGCTTAACCGACTGAGCCACCCAGGCGCCCCTTTTCAGATGTTCTTATCTGAACCTCAAAAAAGCGCAGGCAGTGATGTGGGAGGGTAGGGTCTCCCACCACGTCTGCATATGAAGAGCAGGATGTTCAGCAGACTTGGCCAGAGTCATTCAGAGGAGATGGCAGGGCTGAGGCCTCCATCTCCAAACCGGAGCTCTTTCTCAACAACTCCAAGGAATTTAGGACTCCAGATCGCTGGCCAAGTCAGCGGGACCTCCAAAAGACAAACCTTTTTATTTTCCTTGACCTCAAGAGGGGCTCCTTCACTCACATCTGACGCACTTGCCAGAGGATAAAAGGCCTCAAGTTAACAAGAAGCCTGGGTAAGCCTGCCTTTCTCATTTAGACAAGAGAACTAATTGCAAATTGTTTATAACCATTTCAAAATCCACCACCCAAGGATTTGTCAACCTCGGTCCAAAAGTACAGCTATTTCAAAAGAGACAGGAAATGACATCAACACAAACTGAAACACGATGGAGTTAGGCGCCCCGGCCCTCCTGGCCCAGTTCACAGCAACCCCACAATCCAGTGTCTAGGGTCCAATCTCTCCCCCCAGGCCAGTCCAGAAGCCCCTCCAGAAAAGGGGTAAGCAGAGGCAGCACGTGGAGTGCCCACAGATGCGGCCACACATTTCCCTCCAACACGAGTAAGTTTTTCCTGTGTTACCATTTCTCTTCTAATAGAGAATCAAGACTCAGTGATTTTTCTCCAAGGAAGAAATGTTAACACTTCAATCATTTGGATCACAGGGCTATGGGGTAGTAATTCCGGAAAGAATCCAACCCCCTCACTTTACAGAGCTGGACACCGAGGCTCAGAGAAGCCAAGGACCGGGTCCAATATCATACAGCCGGTAGTGGCAGAGCCACGGCGGGGGGTGCTGGAGGGGGCGGCCCACAAGCCTCCTGACTTCCTTCCATGGGCCGCCCGCCTCAGTGCGTCGCCCTCCACAATGCCTCCACACCACGAAGACTAGCCTTGTGGGACTGATGGTTTCTTGTTGAATTGATTTGATTGATGCGATTTCCTGAGACTGTTTAAGGAGAGAAGGTGGCTCTTCCCCCTTGAGTTTTTCCTGTTATTTTCTCCCCTGATGCTTCCGAAAAATCCCCCCAAACTAATACGCACATGTGCACACCCAACACAGTATGGAGTAGGTTATAGGCTCCCCCTCAAGGTAGGTATTATTATTCCCTATTAACAGATAAGGAAACTGAGCCTCTGAGAGCACAAAAAACCAGTTCAAATACAGTCACGTGAGCACGTGAGAGGGCTGGGAGCTATGTCTCCAGAGGGGGTGAGAGTTCTAGAGCGCAACTGACCACCCTTTTTCCCCGGATGAGGAGAGAAGCACCTAGTGTCCTGCCGCTCTGGAAACCCGCCTAGTGGTCTGGCACCATGGGAATCTACCCAGACTGCTTTGCAGGGCCCAGGCCCCGGGCAAATGGCCGACCACCTTTTGGGGTAACTCAATCCCATGCAGAACCCTGGATTTGCACTGTCCCAAAATACATCTGTGAAGGCGGCTCTATTTAACCAAATGGAGGCTTGAAGCTCATTAATCAGCCTCAATAACCAGCTGAAAATATTATTGCTCTGGGTACTAAAACCCACGTTAAAAAAATAACATCACTTTCAGGTCAGCTGCCTCCCAGCAGAGGCCCGGCGGGGCAGCTGGGCGCCACAGTTCCACAGGGAGGCAGCCGGGAGCACGCGGGGACAGGCATCCCCAGCCCAGGATCAAAAGGCCTTTCTTTGAGAGTCCATGTCAGGTCACCACCACTTGAAGAGCATTTGTGTTGGGAGGCAGAAAACCAACAGAAGGCTTCCAGCTGGGCTTTCCACACTGATTAAGTCACCTGGAGTGACAGGCCATGTCTCCACAGTGACCCCCGAGAGGCCTCCTACAGAGAGAAGGCACCATGGCGGCTCAGCTGGGTGGGCAGAGCTCAGGCAGATCACGCCACCCGAGGCAGGGGACCACCCGGGAACCCACTGCTATGGGAACACCCTTGCCCAGGTAGTGGGCAAAAGCTGCTGAAATCAGCTGCGACCAGAAAACATAAGCAGCAAATAAGAGGTTGGGCCAATGGCCCAGAATTTTACAATTAGCGCTGGCTCGGGAAATGGCAGCCAAAGACTTCAATGAAAAGAGAGAAAACCACATCCAAGGAATGCCCCCATGACCTCCATCAGTAAGGGAGCTCCCTCCAACCAGAGAGGGTGCTAGGCCTTATCCCCTCCCCGCAATGGACGGTACATGTGCCGTAAGGCCCATCTGAAACCTGGGAGCTCAACCCTCACAGCCAGAGCACCAAAGGGTACCTACGCTAATCCACTCAGAGGATATCTCTCTTCCCCAGACACATCCAAGGTGCTCATTTCATGAGCCTCTCCTCGCACTGTGATTTATGCCAAACGCAGAAATGGCCTTTGGGGAGGAGATGCTGCTATTAACACAAAGAGCAAAACACTACATTGAGTTTAAGGCAGAAAGAATTATTTATAGATCTCTGCCTGCCAAAGAGTATAAACATCGGTGTACATCCTAGTTTATAAACCTAATATTTTATCCTCTTGGTCTGCTCTAATTGCATCATCAATCTCAGAAAATTCCGGTGAAAATATGTCTTCTCTATTAAAACACACTTCCCTCGGATGATTTTTAAAAAACATGAAGACCACAAGCCAGTAAAAGGGGACTTGTCATGTTTTCAAAGCAGCCGGCACTGGTTTAAAGAGCAGAGTGAGTCGGATTCCTCTCGGCCTCTGACTAACTTCAGATGTCACCTCCTCCTCTTGGGAGACCTTCTCCTGCCCTGACAAGAAGATGAAGTCAGAGATGCTATGAGGTCTTGCCACCTCCGGCTTCTGTAATTATCGATGTGGTCAGCTTTTCCAGAGTCCTCGCGGCAGGGACAAGTGACGCGCTTGGTTGGCAGCACTGCTCACCACGGCCCTTTCTGGAGAAACACCCAGCTCCACCCACGCCGGCCTCGGCGTCTTGCTGTGCTGCTCGTGTGGGCTGGAGGTCTCCATTTGCCTCTCTGGAGTCACTCTCTACCCTGGTGTGGGCAGGCGAGAATCAGGGTGAGCAATTACCCCCCCCCAACCTGGGCACCATGGTTCCCGGCCCCCTCTTCTAAAGACCCAGCTCACGTACGCTGGTCTGCATCTGTCCCTCCCCTTGTCCCTGCAGACCTAGAGGTGGCAAAGGCTCCCACGTACTGCATCAGCACTACTGATTTCCCCATCCTGCTTAGCACTCCATCAACAGCCCTGCACTCGCTCATGGGCAGGCTGTCCATCTCCTGCCAGGACCCTGACTGAACAATCCTTCAGATGGCTGGGCCCTGACCCTGCCCTCTCTGCTCCCCAACTAGAGTGAAGAAGCACTGCAGAGGGGCGCATCCCCCAGGAGTCCCAGGATCGGATGGGTCTGGTCAGCCCCAAAGCTTGTATCTACCTGGACAGACTATTCTCTGGTCTCTGCAGAGACAGCTGCCATCTGCGGAGCCCTTTTAGGCCTGGGTCAGGAAGGGAGTCACTGGCCCCCCTCAGGGCAACAGATGGGACGGAACCAGAGAAAGAGAGGGAGGAGCCAACCCCTGGCCATGTTGGAGTACAGCCTGAGAGTGGGAGGAGTGACCCCAAGGGAGACCCCAGACCATACTGACAGCACCACAGACACCAGCTTGTGCAACACAGCCTGGCTGGGGCAAAGGCTAAAAAGAAGGAGGGAGGAAAGGGGTATCACACCTTTCTCTTGGGTGAGGTGACAAATTCACCAGCAGCTGTCAGAGTCCCCTGGCAGAGGGGCCATGCTGTCACCTCCTGCCTGCCCCATCATACTTCTCCCGAGAGCCTCAGCCCTGAGGGGCTCTCTCCCCACCCCTGGACTGCCTAGTTGTTTCCCCTCCTCCCCCAGCCCCAGAATTACTTCTCTGTCTCCAACAAGGCTCATAAGGCCACTATGCATAGGCCTTTGACTCTCCCTGTTACTCTTTCAGTTCTAAGTGAGAAGAATTTCAATCTAGCCCAGTTCAGGCAAAACTGTTATCTTTTAGCTCCTAGAATTCAAGGATGGACTGAATAACCAAACTGTGGGGCGGGGGGGGATGAAATGCAGCCAGGCCAAGACT